TGGTGGTGGGGCCACTTTCTCCTTGCTGGGGGAGATTGTCTCTTCAAACCACTGCCCCAGGATGGGCTCACTGTCGTCATCTAGCACACAGGGCAGGAACAACAAACCCATACTGTTATAAGCAAATATTTCACAAAATTACCCAGCCTGAGAAAGGCCTAAAACAGAATTTCACTGAGCAGCCTTAAGGTGTCTGCTTGCTTCATTTCTTCTGTCCAAATCACAAGGCAAAGCCCTTTCACAGAGGTCCAGCAGGAATTTACACAATGAAATTATTTCCACTCTCCTCTTAAGCAAATACTGTCAAATCCCAGCCATTCAGGCCTCAGTTTACACAAAAGAGTGCAGTCAGCACTGCTCCTGCCACACAGACCTTACAAACTGCTCTGCATTCTCAGTGTTGCAGGTCAGAGTCTGAGAAGGCAACAGCACATTGCTTTTCACATTCCATTAACTGTGAAAAGCAGTGTAAAATCCTGAGCTGCTGCAAACTCTCCTACCTTGGCTGCTGTCCTCCTCAGTGCTGCTGAAATCATCCTCATAGTAAGTGTTGGAGTCAGTGGAGGCACTGGCATCGCTGCTCATGGAGCCCTTCCTCTGGCGCTGCAGGACACAGGCCTAAAGAACAGCACAACCAGGACAAGTCTGGGATTATAACATAGAGTCACTTGAAAATAAGAGTAACTTCCTCGTGCCTTTTAAGTTTCTTCTAGCAAATTTGTCTCAACTAGTTTATTAAGAGTTTTTCAAGGTTGAAGTTGTACTAAAAAATACACAGGATGGTTGAAAATAAACAATCCACACCAAGCTTATAAGCAACACTTGAAGTAACAGCTCTAATGCAAAATTATCTGTTACCAATGCAGCCTTTTCATCTTCCCACTAAAATCACCAGTACCACTGAACTTACAAAAAAGTGCATTTCCATTAGCACAAGTTTGCCAAATTTACATCTCTGAAAAGAGGAAAGAGAAAGGCCCTGGCTGATGACTTTTGAAAGCAGAATTTTATGTCCTCAGCACAGCCCATTTGTTAAGTGCTGACCATCTGGAGTGGCTCAGCTCCAGAAGCTCTCTAGCTGTGTGCCAGTCCCTACCTTTCTGTAGGAAGTGGAGAGCAGAGTCAGCAGCAGATTCGTGAGTGGCACAGAGTCTATGAGCCGCTGGATCCTCTGGATGGACGTGCTCTGAGCCATGATATCCAGCACTGCTGGAGGGCCATCACTCTCCCAGCCCTGGAGGGCAGAATTTCAAATTGAATTGACAGAAAAATAAATTGGTAGGAGAATTCCAAGTGTGCATAAGTGGAGAAGGCAGAATGTGTCAGGACAATGTCTGTGCTACCTGCATACCTTGTGCAACGCCTCCACCTGCAGATCTTGGAAAAGAGATGACAGCAATTTGATGGCATGGTTTGCCAGCACCACTGACAGCACCCCAAACCCTTGATGCCTGCAGAGACAGAAAGGACAGAATGTCATTTCAGGGGGAAAATTATAAATATTCAATAAAGTGACTGTTTTGCTAAACTGGAGACAACAATTTCTCTTCTTTCCAAGACACGTCACTTGAATTGCAAATAGAGGTAAAACTTCACAAGACCAACAAGAGCCTGCAGCAGCTGCTTGCTGGGGCTGGTCAGACCCCTGGCCAGTGCTCCCTGCAGGGGAGTCACTCACCCTTTGCCAGGTCCCAGCTTGGGAGACCCCACGCCCTCCTTAGTGCGAGCAATGATGTCTCTGACTCGAAGGGCAGCCAAGGGATCCTTCTCCTTCCCCTTATCAGCCAAGGCCGTGGGGCTGAGGTTCAAGATGAGGAAGAGGCTGTTCAGCAAACACCAAGCCCCGAGCAGCTGGAAGTTCTGATAATGCTATCGTGCCCAAAGTCGTGGGGAAGCGGGGAGAAAAAAGCACCAAAAAGACAAAACACCATCAATCCAAAGACCAAAGGACACCAGCACAGAAAGGGTGAAAAAGGTACTGAGATGGAAATCTTACCTCCCCCCCTGCACGGCGTGAATTGCTGATGGCTTGTCCAATCATTTCATAGATTTCAAGCTGCAAATAAAGCCAAACCCATAGTAAGGCACCCCACCAGACAGCAACAAAAATAAAAACTCCAAATGCAATTGTATTTTATCCTCTACCCCTTTAACTCCTTTACCAGCAATGGCTATGTCCCAGAATCATAGCAGTGTATTGCAATGCAAATAAACACAAATTCTGTGCTCTTCACTTGCTGAGGAGGAAAACAATGAACACCCTGTGGTTCACTTACACATTTCTGTACAATAGTAGCAGCATCATTTTCATAATCTTCTTCTTTGGAGCTCGTTGACCCGGTTCGTACCTGCTGGGTGCTGCCCACGTGCAGGATGGCCATGCAGGTGGCCACGCTCACACCTCAGGGAAAACAAGTGCAGGGACATTCTTAGAAAGAGCCAGTCTTGGCACAAAATGTTCCTACTTAGCACATTAAGACGTGTATTGAACGTGTCCATCAACTTGATGGAGCAGGGAATGCTCAGTATTACAGCAAAAGAATAAAAAATCTTTAGTACCCTCAAAAGAGTGAAGTTTTCCCCTACAGAAACACATGGGAGCAGTTAAAGGAGGTAATGTTTTACCATGTAGTTCAATACCATTTCTAAGACAATTGTTAGACTCGAGTGCCACAGCTCCTTAAAGTCTCCCCCATACCAATTAAACACTCAGGATTCTGGTGTGCTTAAACCACTCCTGGGAAACAAGGCTGATTTGGGGCTATGACAAATGAAGCTGAAGCCTAAAGTAAAAATGTATTATGCTCTGAATATAATAAGAAAGAGCAGAAATTACAGGCTGTTAAGAAAATGTTGAGTCAGTCTTTCTTAGATACTGACAGGAACAGTCATTCTTTCAGTCATTTCTTAGATCCTGACAGGAACAGGGGCAGAACACATCAGTAACAGCTTCAGTATTAACCTGATCACCACACTGTGCCGCAGAGCTTCAAATTCATGAGAAATAAAGGCTGCTTGTGGGCTGTGCCTTGAACATGCAGGTAACAAAGCACAGCCAAAAGCTCCAAAAAACTACAGGAGATCCACTCACCTGCATAGAGACAGCTAAGAGCAAGAACAGTCACATCCTGAAGGCGTGTGGGCGTCAGGGGCTCCAGCACGGGCAGGGACAGCGTATCCAGAGCCATGGTGACATCGATGACCAGCGAGTGGAACCTGCGGGCAGGACACGGGGTGAGCCCTGGGCAGAGCCAGTGAGCTCCCCCTGGCACGAGGGGACAGCCCAGGCAGGGTGGCACTGACCCGTTGCGCACGGCCGTGGCATCGGCCACGGTGGCCGGCATGATGAAGAAGGAGTTGGCGGACACAGCGTCCTGGAAGCGGTTGATGTAGCGCAGGAAGTAGGGCAGGTTCAGGCACACGCGCAGCAGCTTCTCAGAGCCACCTGCCAAGAACAGGGGCTGTCACTGCTTCAGCCAGCCCTAAGGGCCCTCAGTCACTCACTTAATAGCTCTTGGGGGTGAGAAAATGCCATTGGAGGTCAGGGAATAGGACAGAGTGCTTTGCAACAGCAGCTGCTGAAGTTTGCAGCCCACACTTGACACTGTCCACAGACTTGACGACCCCAAAGGTCTCTAAGAATCCTGTGATTCTAATCCACATCTACTCAATCCATCCCATAAGGTATTTCATATTGTCCACCTAATTTACCCCTCCAAACACAAATACACTGCAATAAAAACTCCCTTCCAGCCACAACCTCCCTTGCTGAGTGACTAAGCAACTCAGGGAACCCTTTAGTTCAGAGAGTTTATTCCCACTCAGAGCTGTGAGATGTAACACTGGAGAGATATTTTTGCAGTACGTTTTTGGCCTCAAGCTAGAAAGCTGATTCTCACCAAGTTCTTGCAGGCTGGCCACGTTCTGAGCAATGAATATGCTCTTGGTCTTTGTTGCAGAGGTTTGATCTGTGGCAGCTTGATCCTCGCTCTCTCCTTCCACCTAAAGCAAGCACATACTAAATATATTATGGAAGCACTAAAAATACACAGCATTTCTTTAAGTAATCTTAATTTCTCCAAGTATTTCTCCAAGTCTCTGATACAGAATGAAGGTGTATCAGCAGCACAACTCCAAACAACCATGGATGTCACTGAATGCTGCATTCCATGAGGAAGCAAATCCAGTATTGCCAATGCAGCACAAACAGTATCTGGCTGTTTGCCATTTATCCCATGCAAGCAGGATTTATGTACTTAAGGAAAGTTCTCTTTCCACTTGTACTGAAAAGTACCACTTAGAGCCCTCTGTCCTTCCCTGCACTGTGTTAATAATGTTGAAATTCAGACTGCTTCTGTTTTAAGAGGGTTTTTTACCTGTGTCTCTGTTGTGATTGATGGTGATGAAGAGACTCTGGGGTTAAAGACTGATGTCAATTGGTTGAGGAAGTTCATCTGCACTTCCTTCTGTCTCAGCTCTGGGCTCACTGGGGAGGCCAATTCCTTCTGGTCCTCAACTGCAGGGAAAACACCAACCCCCATTTCAGAGAGCAAACCTCAGATTTTCTGTGCCCCACTCCAGTGCTGCAGTGACACACACACAGCTGAGGCCCCTCCCTACCATCAGAGAGGGTTTTGACAGTCTGAGGCAGCTTGGCTGATTTCATCATCGCTGTGAAGGTGATGATTTCTGTGCGGTCCAGGCGGCTGCAGCCCGTGCACAGCCCCTTGATCAGCAAAATGAGGTGTTTCTGCAGAAAACAGAGACATCAAGGACCATTTAAACTCTCCCAATTCCAATCCCTCCTCCATATCATTTACTTTAAGCAGATGGATTAAGAGTAATGCAACTTCAGCTGGTGAGGCCACTGCAACAGCTCTGAGCCACTCTGATCTCCCTCGAGGATGGACACACATCCCTGACTGCAGGTAATCCAGGTCACTGACATGCCTGTGTTCATGGGAAACACCTGGAACAGCTCTCTCTGCTGTGACACAACATTACAGAACACTCCTCACTGGCCTTCCCTCTTTCAAATATATTTAAGCTTTCCCACAAGACAGAGATACAAACAGGCAAAAAACATCTTTAAAAACTCTACAGATAGCTGTGACCCAGGCTGTTGCACAAAACCAAACCAGAGTGCAGGAAACAAACTGAATTAACCAAGGCTTCAGGTCACCTTTATTTTGAGTTGTGAGCGAGCTTTGATTCTGACTATAGAATGCAAAGGGGCAGGAATCAGAGTCTACCAAAGTGTACACCTTAAACATTTGAGGAGTTTCATTAATTTTGCTTTATGCATTCAACATCAGAGCAGGTATTTCAGAATTGGAGCCCAAAGTCCATCTCCCACTGAGGCCCAGCCCTGTCTCACCTGTGAAACAGCACAAGCTTCGTCTGGGTTCTCAAGCCGCAGCAGGGAGAACTCAATCAGGACTTTACAGGCAGCTGCCACTGACTGCAGCTGGTTCCTGGGGACTGCAAAAAGCACATCCTTGTAGTCAGAGTAAGTTGTAAACCAGCCCAGTGTAATAAGCTCCCAATGGTGTCAATAAAGCAGGATGCTCTGCAGTGTGGGTACACACTCAATCTCTCCTGCCTAACACAGATGCAATACAAACTCAGCCTCATTACAATGGAACCCAAGAAATGTCAGCAAAGTGAGGATAATTCCTTCTCCCAGACAGGGGAATGCAGACAGATAAAGCAGTTTCCCCAGCAACATTATTTAATGCTGACAGAAGCTCTGAGGAACATGAAACAAGTTCACAAAGCCCATTTTTTTGTTGAAATTGCTAAATTGTCAGCCAAAATAACAGAAAATATTTGGAGTCACAATGTTTTGATCATTAACTCCAACACAGTAACGTAACTACAGAATGGTTTGGGTTGGAAGGGACCTTAAATCCCATCCTGTCCCACCCCCTGCCATGGCCAGGGACATCTTCCACTTGATCAGGTTGTCCCAAGCCCCATCCAACCCGGCCTTGGACACTTCCAGGGATTGCAAATAACCATGGCAGTGTTCTAACTGCTGAAGGATAATCTAAAATGCCTGAACACTGATTTAAACACTTGGCCAAAAATTCAGTCAGGTCAATGAATAAGCAGCCAAAAAGGCAAAGCTGTCCAGGAGTTGGTGGCCAAACACTCCCATCAATAAGCTTCCCTCTCCATCAGAGCTGACATTTCATGGTACAAAAGGCAGCAATGCTGGCCCTAAGGTCTGATTCAGCAAGAGGGTAAAAAACAAATACAAAAATCAACAGTTCTGATTTACTTTTACTGCATCCAGTCATTTTACAGGAGCAAGAGAAGCAAAGGAACACTTACTGAGGCCACACACAGTAGTGATGTAGTGTGTGGAAAGTGCAACGAAGGAGGAGTAGAAAGGCTCATACTGCTTGTCGTGGTGCAGGATCTCAGATTCACTGCAAGGGAGAAGGGGACAGAGGTCAGCAGGACCCAGCAGAGCAGCAGCACCACCCAGCACCCCAATGTGCCCCATGACAGGGGCAGGGCAAGGTGACAGCTCTGGGAACACAACCCCCATGTCCCCAGGGCTGAGTGCCCCAGCAGCAGCCACACCACGGCATGGGCACCCCTGCCCACACAGGAACTGGAAGGAAATATTGTGCTGCCAGTGCTTCTCCTCCACAGCACCAACAGGTCAGGCTCCAGCAGCCACACTCCCTGCCAGAGGCTCATTAACCTTTCAGTTGTTCTGAACTCAGCTGCCCAGAGAGCCTGGACTGGGTGTTCTGCTCAGGCTGGCAGGAATTGCCAGGCCTGGAGCACAGGAATGCCCCCCCAGCATGGCACCAACTGCAGCCTGAGCAGGGCTGCAGATCAGAGGGGTCAGAGCAGAACCACAGCACAAACACAGCATACACTGCACACACA